ACCATTGTTGAATGGGGTCATTCAATGAGTGAAGAGGAATATGAAAATTCCACAGTGAGCACGAAGGAGTTCATCTGTAATTTTTCAGAGAACTTTGCTATGATTGACACGGAGGTTATGTGCTCAAGGCCCACTGACGAGGACAGTCATGGTCCAATGTTTATTTCACTCAGACCAGCTTCCTTTTCATCTGGAGACAGAAAACAGTATCGCATGGGACCAACTCTTCATGAGGCTAACTTGCGGAGGAAGGAGAGACAAAAGCAGAATAAAAGGAAAGGAAGGCCGCCAACTTCTGATCAAGCAACTTCATCGTTTGCAGCGGCATAATTCCTGAGCGAAGGCTGAAATTTAAATGATAGCTAGGAAGTGAAGATACTTCTGGTTACAGTTGATACTTTGCTTCCAGGCTTGACTTTAAGTTGCCAGGCTGAAGTTTTAATAAATTCTGGTTTGCGATGAGGAGAAACTTTTTATCAAAGAAGATACTCCTGCATTCCAGGTTTATACGCTTTAGCATGTAGATAGGTATGGACAGTTTTGCATAACTGATGATATCTATCACAGTCGCTTTTCTGAGATGACCTCTAATGGACAACCAGTCATGGTTGATGATTAAGTCATTTCATGATTTGCAATTGTAGTGCAAGATTTTTTGTACATACATTTGCCGGTATCTCCTTCTTGTGTTTTTGATGTGAATGTGAAAGAGAGTCCTTTTGATGCAGTTTATTTTGTCTGTGAATGAAAGCGGTCGAGACCACGTCACGAGAAGATTATTCCTCGGACCGTACGCTCCTTGCATTTTGCAAGGCATCTTAATTCATTGCAATTTGTGCGGTCTTGAATTTTTAGTTCTTTGTTACGCGGGTGTCGTTTGATTCTTTTATAGGTCTCTGTAGAGAAAAAGCCGCTTTCCCTTTTTAGTTTGATTTAGCTCAGGCCCTAAAGAGCTAGTGAGCGCCGGTACATGGTATCTCCGCCTGCGAAAAGTACAGTCTCCAGCCGAGGTACATTATCGCTTTGATTTTGTACTTGAGGTGAGTCAGCTATTGCTCCCTCACTGTATTTAGTAGCTATGAGATTACCTTCTCTGAAGTGTGAAACACACTGGATTAGGTAAGTACATGGCACCGTAGTTTTCTTTTAAGTTGTCAGAGCTAGCTGGACTGTTTTAGCCTTGCAGTAGAAAAAGAGTATGCGACATACGCAATCAGCTAGAAGTGGACATGAATCTTGTGCCTGCTGAAAAGTAGAGCCTACCTGTACAGGGTTCCACTCCAACAGCTGATATAGTGTGTCCATGCTTGACTGCTTCAAGGCTCAAAGAGCAAGAGGATAAGACTCTGCGCATAAAAGACACTAGCGGTCTGCACCTCTACCGTGTACGCCCTAGTCACTCTTTCACCCCCCGCC